GTACCAGAGGCCCCCAAAATAGTTTGTTCTGAAATAAAGGAGATCCATTATTAACTATACTGTATCAGTCAACCATTCAGAAGCATTATTAATCAGTTGAATTCATACACCTTGGTTGGAGAGCGAGGTCGCAGCCTAGTGTTAGTTCCATGTTCCCTGTGCTCCTGTGATACCTGACAGCTGCCTGCATTCATGGTTCTTATCACAAGCGTGGCCAAATGGAGAATGGTGTTGGTTATGATCCCAGCTGGCATATCAAACCAATCTTGCCTTCATCTCATGATAATCTCAGGGTGGCCCTTTTTCAGTAAACCAGTCATACCAGGACCAGGAGTTGTGTATGGTTGTTGTTAAAATTGCCTTATGTGGAAACGGCCGTCGAGTGTGATTTTCCTCAGTAACATTTATGGGAAGTTATCTTGGTGCCAAGTTGAGACACAATCTAGAGTAGGCACCCTGGATCTCAAAGCAATCTCGCTCTCCTGTGTGATTTTACAAGCCCTCCTTCCCAGCATGTTCCCACCATAATGTAGACCTACACTTTATACACCTTGGACTCAAAGCAATATCTCTCTCTCTCTCTCTCTCTCTCTCTCTCTCTCCTTCCCAGCATATTCCCTCCATCTCTTTCTTTCTCTCCTTCCTTACAAATTCTCGCCATCTCTCTATTTCTCTTTCTTTCACTCTCCCTATATCTCTCCCTCTCTCCTTCCCGAAATATTACCTCCATCTCATTCTCTCTACTACTTTCACTTTTTCTCACTCTCCTTCCGACATACTGTATTTTACCTACCATCTCTTTTTCTCTCTCTATTTCTCTTTCTTTCATTCTGTCTTTCTGTCTCTCTCTTTTCTCACTCTATTTCTCTCTCCTTCTTTTTCTCTCTCCTTCTCTTTCTCTCCCTCTCTCTCTCCTTCCTGGCATAGTGTATTACCTCCATCTCATTCTCTTTCTCTTTCTCTTTCTCTCTCTTTCTCTCCTCTCTCCTTCCCAGCATATTCCCTCCATTTCTTTCTTCCTCTTTCTTTCTCTCTCCCCTTCCTTACATATTCTGTCCAGCTCTCTATTTCTCTTTATTTTGCGCTCTTTCTATATCTCTCTTTCTCTCCTTCCCGAACTATTACCTCATTCTCTCTCTCTCTCTCTCTCTCTCTCTCTCTCTCTCTCTCTCTCTCTCTCTCTCTCCTCTCTCTCTCCTCTCTCTCTCTCTCTCTCTCTCTCTCTCTCTCTCTTTTTCTCTTTCTCTCTTTCTTTCTCTCTCCTTCCCCACATATTCTCTTGATCTCTCTATTCCTTTCTTTCGTTCTCTCTTTCTCTCGTTCTCTCTTTCTCTTTCTAGCTCTCACTCTCCCTTTCTCTCTCTTTCTTTCTCTCTCTCCTTCCTGACATTCTCTCCATCTCTCTGTTTCTCTCTTTCGCTCTCTTTCTCTTTCTATATCTTTCTTTCTATATCTCTCCCTCTCTCCTTCCCAACATATTACCTCCATCTCATTCTCTCTTCCTTTCTCTCTATCTCTCTATTTCTTTCACTTTCTCACTCTTTCTCTCTCCTTCCCGACATACGTATTACCTCCATTTCATTCTATTTTTCTCTTTTCGCTCTCTCTCTCCTTCCTGACATTCCCTCCATCTCGCTTTCTTTCTCTCTTTTTCTCTCTTTCTTTCTCTCTCTATATATCTTTCTTTCTCTCTCTCCTTCCCGACATACTGTATTACCTCCATCTCATTCACTCTCTCGCTTTTTCTCCTTTCTCTCGTTCTCTCTCTTTTCCTCTTTCTCCTTCCCAACGTATTCCCTCCATCTCTCTCTTTCTCTCTCTCTCGTGTATGATTTTACAAGCCTTGCCAAATGAATCCCTTTCTTCTCTCCTTCCCAGCATATTTCCTCCATAATGGGCTCAATTATAAACAGCAGATGTTATCTCTTGTTAGAGGCTTTTGTTCCACACGACTCTCAACAACACATTAACTTTACTATTCTGTTGTGGTGCCAGGCAGACAGCAAGCAGCACTAATGCTCTTATACCAGTACAGCACAGAATATCTTTGTGCGTCTCAAATGGCACCCTGTTCTCTATATAAAGCACTACTTTTAAAACATTTCATAGGTAGCACTGGTGTATTATATAGGGAATAGGGAACAGGTAAAAAACACAGAGACAATAGGAAACATCACCTAAACCCTCCAAAACAATTACATCAGAACTTTGCCAACGTTAATCATTAATCATCGTATAATTGTTGTTAATAATAGATTATTTATCTTTGGGAGGCAGGAGGGGTGTTAGCCTGAGGACGCTATGGGGACTGTTGGCACACATGGAGTCCATCGCAAATGCCACCATATTCCCTATATAGTGCACTAGTTTTGGGCCTTGGTCAAAAGAAATGCACTATATAGAGATTATGCTGGCATTTGGTACTGGGCCATGGTTACAGTTGACTTGATGCTGCTGCACTGCTAACATGTTTGGGGCTGTTGCTTGAGGGGCGTTGGCAGTACCATGGCATATTGGGCCTGTGGTGGTCTCTGGGAGGTGAGCGTATGGGGTGTAACTGTAACCGTGGGTCTGACTGTTCCCTTCCTCCAGCGTCTCTCAGTGAGGGAGGCCGTGTCGGCCGTGGAGCCCCACTGGCTGACTGAAGTAACCACATCCAACAGTGTCTGTGTCCCAAATGGCACCCTATTCCCTTTAAAGTCCATTACTTTTGACCAGGGAATAGGGCTCTGGTCAAAAGTAGTGCACTATGAAGGGAATAGGGTGCCATTTGGGACACAGTCTAAGTCAATTAGGTACCATGAAGCAATCAAGTAACACTGTTTGGACTGTTGTGCCATTAGTTATACTGAGTTACAGAAAATTACAACAAGTTGAAATTGAAAAGCCATCAGCGCCAGTTACCATGTAATGTAATGGCAAGCCACATTGATCTATGATCACACACACATTCCCTCGCCCTCGACTCAGTAAGCCATCTCTGAAAAAGCATTAAGAATAGAATACAGTTCAGTAAAATGAATTACTGTTGTGGATCTTTCTGTCTCACTCGCTCACTCACTCACACAGTGCTATTTGTGCCGCGGTACAGATGCGGCTGCATTCATGTCTCTAGTGTGTGAATGTATGAGTATCAGAGGACCCAGTGAATGTAGCAGATAACAAGCCCTTGCCTTAAAGTGATGTTTCAAGATAACACCTGTTCCTACACAGACAGCACACAGTGACAGCACACAGTGACAGCATCAGCTGCTAGTACAGGGGGGGTGACAGTATGGGGGGGATGACATTATAGGGGGGGGTGACAGTATAGGGGAGGATGACGGTATGGGGGGGTGACAGTATGGGGGGGGGGGTGGGAGTGACAGTACAGGGGGAATGACAGTACAGGGGGCGATGAGGTTATAGATGGCTGGGGAGTCTCATTCTAATCTCAAGTCATTCTAATCTAGTGGACCAACTTTTTAGGAAAACTATTGTTTGTAATGCACCTTGTGAGAGGTGGTGTGTGTGTGTGTGTGTGTGTGTTTAGGAGGATTTGGTAGGGACAGTTGCTATTTGTGAATATGCCTTAATAATGGCGATATTAAAATACACATTATCTGCATGTTAGCATCACATAAGTCATTATGAGAGGTGGTCCTTGTCTTTGCTCAAAGTTCCACTGTGTTTAATCACTCACTGGCCCTCTCCATGTGGAGTCTGACTATGACCTCACTCCTGAGTGTGTGTGTGTGTGTGTGTGTGTGTGTGTGCAGTTTGTACTCCACGCTGTGAGTTTCTCTTAGTACACACACACACACACACGCGCGCATGGAGGCACACGCACACACCTCCACATCAGTCTGCCTGGACTCCTGTCTGTCTATTATCCTAGGTGTTTGATATTCATGCTCTATCAGCATGCATTCTCAGGCAGAGAGAGAGCTGCTTTTAAAAGGGCAGACAACAGTGCTCTCCACGCATGGGCTCCCTCCAGCAATTACATCCTTCAGTGCCTCCTCTTCTCTCCTCTCTGCACTTTTAATGTGTTTCATGTGACTTTACAGTGTCATCAAATAGACAGACAGGTTTGTAGGAAAGTTGAGAGCGCCTCTCTAATAGTTTCAGGTGATGCTGTTCAGAACGATCAGGGGGCGCGAGCGAGGCCAGGGGTGTAGCGGTTGAGATTAGGGAGGGGGGGGGGCTTTTATTCTCCCCCTGCGAAAGGTTGATTCACCCTATGGAATACAAAGCAGTATGCAGCCTAGGAGAAGAGAAGAGAAGAGAAGAGAAGGGGAGGGTGGAGGGGAGGCAGTTCTGCTATTGTTCCACATGGATTCATTCTCACTATTTCTCTCTTCTGTCTCTCCCTTCCCTCGCCCGCTCGCTCTCCTTCTGTCTCTCCACAAAGTAATTTGATCTCTCTCTCTGCAAACAATGGAAGCTAATGAATGTCTGACACTGAGCTTGATTATGACTGCATTCATTACACATGCACATAATTGCCAGTAGTTAAGTGTGCAGATTTATTCAAAGGACAGCTGTCAATTGACAAGGCAGAGAGAATAGCTTTTTTGTTGTTCAATGAGGCTCAAGCACCTGTTGCATTTTCTGATATTGTGTCTGTTTCTGTGTGTAGGAAATGCACTGTATACATTATTTAGTGCTCTGTTGGGGTCTGACAGGTGGTCACAGAATTGATCCGATGCTCACTCCATACCTATATTCTTATGTCAATTGTGTTTCATGATGACAGCCAATGGCGCCACTGTGCTGCTGCAATTGTTCACAGATAAGCTATCATAACGTTATCTATCCTTGGCCCCAAGAACTCTCACTGTCACATCTGTATTGGACTGTGATCATGTTGAGTCCTCTCTTCTAAAACTAACTTCATAGATGTAAGCAGGACTTTCCACTGCTTCGGTGTTTCTAACAGTAGATCTCACAGTAGCAACAATGACCAGTGACACCATCCTCCCTCCCTCCCTCCCTTCCTCCCTCCCTCTCTGTTCTAGAAGGTTGAGGAGGATGACCTGGTGTTGACCCCGGATGGTACCAGGGAGTTCCTGACCTTTGAGATCCCTCTGAGTGACTCAGGGTCGGCAGGGTTAGGGGTCAGCGTCAAGGGCAACCGCTCCAAGGAGAACCACTCTGACCTGGGCATCTTTGTCAAGTCCATCATCAACGGGGGAGCTGCCTGCAAGGTGAGTCTCATCTTTCACCTTTCATTAGAACTAATGTAAAAATTTGCCAATTTTCATGCTCATATAAGTTATCAATAATATGGTATTCTTTGGATAATATTGGACGATATTGCCACTCCTATTTGCTATATCTTCAATCTAAGCCTACTAGAAAGTGTGTGCCCACAGGCCTGGAGGGAAGCAAAAGGAATTCCGCTACCCAAGAATAGTAAAGCCCCCACCCAAGAATAGTAAAGCCCCCTTTACTGGCTCAAATAGCCGACCAATCAGCATGTTACCAACCCTTAGTAAACTTTTGAAAAAATGTGCGTTTGACCAGATACAATGCTATTTTACTGTAAACAAATTGACAACAGACTTTCAGCACGCTTATAGGGGAGGACATTCAACAAGCACGGCACTTACGCAAATTACTGATGATTGGCTGAGAGAAACTGATGATAAAAAGATTGTGGGAGCTGTTTTGTTAGACTTGAGTACGGCTTTTGACATTATCGATCATAGTTTGCTGATGGGAGAACAAATGTGTTATGGCTTTACACCCCCTGCTATGTTGTGGATAAAGAGTTACCTGTAACAGAACACAGAGGGTGTTCTTTAATGGAAGCCTCTCCAACACAATACAGGTAGAATCAGTAATTCCCCAGGGCAGCTGTCTAGGCCCCTTATTTTTTCAATCTTTACTAATGACATGCCACTGGCTTTGAGTAAAGCCAGTGGCATGTCATTAGTAAAGATTGAAAAAATGCGTATGACTCAACAGCTACAGCGAGTGAAATCACTGCAACATTTAACAAAGAGCTGCAGTTAGTTTCAGAATTGGTAGCAAGGAATAAATTAGTCCTAAATATTTCAAAAACTAAAAGCATTGTATTTGGGACAAATCATTACCTAAACCCTAAACCTCAACTAAATCTTGTAATAAATAATGTGGAAATTGAGCAAGTTGAGGTGACTAAACTGCATGGAGTAACCCTGGATTGTAAACTGTCATGGTCAAAACATGTTGCTACAACAGTAGCTAAGATTGGAAGAATTCTGTCCATAATAAAGCGCTGCTGTGCCTTTTTAACAACACTATCAACAAGGCAGGTCCTACAGGCCCTAGTTTTGTCGCACCTGGACTACTGTTCAGTCGTGTGGTCAGGTGCCACACAGAGGGAGCTCTGAAAATTAAAATTGGCTCAGAACAGGGCAGCATGGCTGGCCCTTAAATGTACATGGAGAGCTAACATTAATAATATGCATGGAAATCTCTCATGGCTCAAAGTGGAGGAGAGATTTACTTCATCACTACTTGTTTTTGTAAGAAGTGTTGACATGCTGAATGCACCGAGGTGTCTGTTTAAACTAATAGCACACAGCTCGGACACCCATGCATACCCCACAAGACATGCCACCAGAGGTCTCTTCACAATCCCCAAGTCCAGAACAGACTATGGGAGGCGCACAGTACAACGTAGAGCCATGACTAAATGGAGTTCTACTCCACATCAGGTAACTGATTCAAGCAGTAGAATTAGATTTTAAAAAAACAGATAAAAATACACCTTATGGAACAGCGGGTACTGTGAAGAGACACACACACACAGGCACATACACATAATAAGACACACACTCTATACACAGGTACACATGGATTTTGTATTGTAGATATGTGATAGTAGAATAGTAGCCTGAGGGAACACACTTAATGTGTTGTAAAAAGTGTTATGAAATGTAATGTCATGTAAAAGTTTAAATAGTATAAAACTGCCTTAATGTTGCTGGACCCCAGGAAGAGTAGCTGCTGCCTTGGGGATCCTTAATAAATACAAATACAAATATACCGGTCTAACCAGCCTCTTAGCATCTTCTGTCTAGCAGTTCTGATAGCTGCTCTTCATTGCTTTTTCTGCTATTCATTATTCCACTGCCAGTACAGTAGCCCGTTTCTGCTCTCTTGCCAATTCCTTATGGAATTAAGTGACCTGGGCATCACTCGTTGTTTGGTGTGACAATAAGTGACAAGGAGTTGGCAAGATAACACAAACCAGGCTAACGGTACAGTGCTAATGCATTGAACAGCCTGATTGTGCGTGTTGACTGATTCTCATCCTACATGTCATATCCTGTCTGAACAGGATGGAAGGCTACGGGTCAACGACCAGCTGATAGCGGTGAACGGGGAGTCGTTGCTAGGCAAGACCAACCAGGAAGCCATGGAGACACTAAGGAAGTCCATGTCGGTAGAGGGCAACAAGCGGGGGATGATTCAGCTGATTGTGGCCAGGAGGGTCACTAAACGCAACGAGGTAGGCCTAACCATCGCTTTATTAAAGCTGTGGAGATACCTAACACCAGCCAGGGGCGGGCTCATAGAAATGGCTGGAATGGAATGAATGGAACAGTGTCAAACGCATAAAAAACATGCATTCCTTTTATTCCTTTCCAACCATTACTATGAGCCTTCCTCCGCTCACCAGCCTCCACTGACTAACACGCTTGTATGCTGAAATACTTTTCTAACCCACCGGGCGTCTATGTGTGATGTTAGGCTTGTTGGAGGCTTTGGAGGCAGCGTCTGAGAGCATTGTGGCTCCATTCTTCTTTCCTCAGTCACTGCCATTGCTAATGTATTGTTTGTTTTTTCAAATGTTCGATTATCATATTAAAGATTCACATTTTTTTAAATGACTGCATTCTGTTTTCTCTATGCGTTTCTTCAGCAGAAAAATGTGGTCATTCTTACTAAAATGTACAATATTCCTAAATAAGGTTAAGGCCACCCATCACACTGTCATGATACCTTTGACATTTGTTTCAAGTTTGGTCTTTATTTTTATTTTTTAAAACACTTGATAGTTGTTCAGTTACCATTAACACGCACCCTCACACATGTAGTCTTCGTCTCATTCCAAAGCCAGTGACACATTGCCTATTCTGAACTAGAGAACTATGTTAGGGATATGATGAAAGAGCACCCAGTCAGGTGGTTCACATCAGTTCACACGACATGAGCTGCGTCCCAAAATGGCACCCTATTCGCTATTTAGTGCAATACTTTTAAACAGGACCGATAGGGCTCTGGTCCAAAAAAGTGTACTATGTAGGGCAGTGTTTCCCAAATCCAGTCCTCCAGTACCCCCAACAGTACACATTGTTGTTGTAGCCCTGGACAAGCACACCTGATTCAACTTGCCAAATAATCATCAAGCCCTCAATGAGTTGAATCAGGTGTTGTTCTCCGGGGTTACAACAACAATGTGTGCGGGAGGAATGGAGTAGTGAATAGGGTGCCATTTGGGATGCAGCCATGCTCTCCTCTTAGCCTCCATGTCCCGAGGCATGCTGGGGGAATTAGTGACGGCTGGCCAACAAAGTTACACATTACTTTTTTTTCATTTAAATGTTAACATGTTGATACACTCCAGACTCGCTCTCACTCTGTCTTTATCTCTCTCTCCCTCCCTCTCTTTCTCTCTACCGCCATCCCTCTCCACATTTCAATGTCATGATATTGCTGCATACTCCAGACTCTATCCTGGCTTGATCACTTATCTATTGGAGAGCTCTGTCTACTGGTTGTTGTAGTGTGTACTGTGTGCCTCCAGCCCTGCCTCTGCCTCTTGCTACAGTACATGTCAGACCTGTGATTTCCCATGGTGCAGCTGTTAATTGAAAGCAGAGCAGGGGCTAAGGGCTAAGCCATGTGCTGCCGTCAGGTTGCAGGCTGTGCTGTGGAAAAGCCAAGGGTGAGAGGAGAGCATAGAACACTGGCTTTGAATGAGGTACACACACACACGGGATGACTCATCAATATCTGCATCACGGATACAGCTGTGGGGATGGCTTAGACTAGAGCATTATCTTTCTAGGTATCTGTATAGAAGAAGAATGATACTTTATTGATCCATTTTTCTTGCAGTCCACTGAATATGTGATATATATGAACCATAGAAGAACTCTACCAAGGTCATAGACATTCATGTGGCACAGCTTGATGGACAGGTTGTACTCCTGTCTCCCATCAACTCACACCATCCTTCTCTTTCTGACTTATCCTCCTAACTTTACCTCTAGGGTAGTAATCAGTGGCAAACTATTCTGTATCTGAACCAATATTTCCTCAATACTAAACCCCCACGCAGGGCTATTCTATTCAGACAGATGCCCTAATCACAATTCCGACCCAATTACGACCCTGCACCAGTTTAATTATAGGTTTGAATATGCAATGAGTAGAGCAGTGATTTGTTGACAGGCACACACACACAAACAATAGGCCCTCTGCTCTGCAGCCAGTTTCATTAACCATCTCATCTCAACAGTCTGAAGCCATTTGGGCTCTCTAGAAATCATTTTTTCAGATCTCCACCCCCAGTCATTTGGTGTTGTTCCTATTTTACTAGTTCTACACCTGTTTTTACTCACATTTTACTGGCTAAGGTAGCAGCCACGTCTGCTTGATGAATGTTTAGCAGTTTCTACATTAAATGAACTGAACTTGTCTGTATCACACCTGTCTCTGTGTTATCAGCACGTCTATCAAACGTGGGAAATGAAATGAAGGCGCTGTGGATTGAATATTCACTGATTACATTTCCTCTTGTTGTGATGCACATCTGTTGATGCTGGCAGTCTTCATGCTAACAAGTAATTTTCTTCATCTTGAGCCATGAATACAGAAACCGTTGCACTTTTAGGTCTGGTTTCCCAAACACAAATTAAACCTAGTCCTGGACTATGAAGTTCTTTTAAATGAAGGGTCTCTCCATTGAGAATGCTTTTTACACTTGGACTAGGCTTAATATGTGTCAGGAAACCAGCTTGTACAGTTTAAATCAGTGAAAGAGGAGATTCTAAGTGCAAACAATGAGGGCATCGTCACCATAGAGATCCTATAATTCTATTGATTCTATGTAATTCTATGGTCCACACACGTTCAACCCCACTTGCTCCTCAGCCATGTGTGTTTTTAAAGGTGACCGAGGCAGTAAATGGCCTATTTGTCCAATAAGCAGTGGTGAGTCAGATAGCCCCTTGAGGAAAATGGCACCGTGCTGCTCACCTGTGGGGGAATGTTGTCAGCAGGCGTCTTAACAGCTATTGAAAATCCATTGTCATTTATCAAGCTATCCTAACCATGGTCGTGGTGGTGCTGGGGCTAATATTAGCATGAACCTAGCCTGCCTCTACAGGTTTGTTATTTATCTAGCAAGCTGTGGTAGTGCCGGGGCTATGTAGCATGAGGCTAGCCTGCGTCTACCGATCAACCGGTCCCTCACAGACAGGATGAGGCATAATTTCTAGGTTTAGCTGTAATCGCTGCTGCAATCCCACCGTGAGAGAGAAATAGCCATAATGGGGTTTTGGCTTTGAGCTAGAATGGCAAAACGAGTTAAAAAATCAAGATTTAATCAAAATGTACTTAAGGGAGAATTTCGTCTCATACTGTGCATTTCCAATATAACGAGGATTCCTTCTTCCAATGTTACATGTATTGATTGTGCCTGTCTTCCCAATGCCTTTGTATGTGTAGCTGGAGGCCCCTGGGAGCCTCCTGGGACCGGAGCAGGCCCTCAACTCCACCCTGCTGGACGACCGGGAGCGTCGTATCTCCCACTCCCTGTACGGAGGCATAGAGGGCCTGGACGACAACCTGATGCCACAGCAGACCCTAATGGGCAGAATGATGGGTGAGTCAGGTCCCCCCAATACCTTCTCACACCCTTATTGCTGGGTTAACACCAGATATTGTCATTCACACATCACACTCTACAAACTGTAAACTAACAGTGTTGATAAGATCCAATTTACACCTGAGCCAAGCTGAGATGCTGTGTTGTTACTTAAAAAACAAGGCCAATTAATTAAAACTGAGAACTAATAGGACACAATTTCTGATTATTCGTTCGGCTAAAAAAGTATTCACTTCTAACCATGTATAATACTAGAGGGCAATTCCACTGTAACGGTGACACTGAGACTCAGATTTTTGACTTAAAAATTTCAAACAAAAACCGATGATTGCAAAGTTAAACAAACCATACATCTCTATGCACAATGACTGCTTTTAACAATTTCCGCAGACAATTTTACAAAAACGTATTTACTTGAAGAACAGTGCAGATGCAAAGTTTGGTAACAGAATGACCGTTTGTGCTGTTTATGCCTTCATTCTGTTACCAAGCTGGGTGGACTGGAATAGTTGCACCAGTATCTCCTGTTGTAACATCTGGCCTAGCGGTTGGTTGGCTGGCTGGTATCTATATCCTATGATTGATTTAATCTATGTGGCGCATTTAAAATCTGTGTCCTCCCATCAAACTGCCTGCCACCCTGTCTGTCTGTCAGCCCTCTCTCACAAACACACACACACACACACACACACACACACACACACAGTACGGACACACACAGTACGGACACACACACCACAAACAGTATGGTCACACACACAGTACTGGTCCTCTCTTTCAGGGTCAGCCTGAGGCGCTGACAGAACAGGCAGACTCCAAACAGAGAGCTCAGGGATTCACAGAGCACACACACACACACACCATTGAATCAATCAGAAGGTCTGCGCTGCACCATACAAGGGCCCCTGAGCTGTAAATTGTCTGACCTTTTCCCTTACATTTTCCGAGACATTAAGATCCGCTGAAAGTTGAATGGAAACTCACAGCACAGTCTGTTACTCCATTTCCTGTGTTGACAAACCTGGTGGTCGCAGATCATATAATCCACTGTAAACACACACATTGGGGGCTGCAGGGACATGTACTACTATATCTATTGGAGTAGCCCTAAACTTATGTTCTTAAAGGAAAGGTTCACCCATTTTGAACGTTATATTGTTTTTGTGCATCTCTGAGTGATGTTCTATTAATTCCCTGGGTCATTTCATGTTTTCATGTGTATCTGAGTTATTGGCGTTCAAGCAGGCAGAAATCCGGCCGGTATGATGTAGCACTGTGATAAAGTCGCTCTCACAACACTGCAAGTTAATAGGAATACGACTTTCAGATCGCAAAAACGTCTATCATACACGTCAGATTTCAATACTGGCCGATGTCATAACTCGGGAGGATGTCTTCTGTCGAATGAGCTATTGATCATATTTTTTGCGATATTCCTACCTCGAGAAACATTTATTTAATGGAGGGTCTAGCACATTTTTCCTATTTGTCTGCCTCTTTAGTCCAGGATGCATTGCATGGTGCCGTTGCCAGAGATATTATAGAAAGGAGATAGGAATCCAATGAATGAAGGAACGTATAACGCCCCACCTAGCAGACTGTCGACCAATAGTGTTCACTTTGTCATGCTGCGTCACGCGGTTGCTACGCTAATCGTCATGCAATCCCTTCTCAAAGTCAGTGTATATGTCGAAAAACTTGCCTATTTTCCTTGAAAGTACGTGATGTCACGATTCCAAATCTATACCATATTACATATAGCAAGTTAATTATCTCACATCTCGGAAAAGATTTGTAATGTTGTACTTCTTGTTGACAAAATTTGTGCTAATGTTGGGTTTTTGAGCTAGCGCCCAATAGACTCTCATTCACTCCTTGAAGGAGAGTGGTCCTTGTACCAGAATTGCCCAGAATGCACAGTGCGGCCCATTGACGTAGCATGGGCAACGTTTCCCATCTCCTCAAAAGTATATCTGCTGTTGGTAATGTTAGACTCCACTCTGTTAGGCACGTCGATCTGCAGGTTGAACATAGTGAGATTGTAGACTCCTAAATTGATAGTGCGGTTTGTTTATGCAATTTTACAGCTAACCAGCTACTTTACATGCTCATATTGTCGTTGGTATTATTGTGTGTAGCTACGTTTGCTAGCTAGCTAGCCAGCCAGTCCATACAGAGAGCATTGCATTGTGGATTTTGTAGTCGACTTGAGCTGCAACAGATTTCCACAACGATTTTCCATGTTGCTACCAACCTTATTATAACAGCAAAATGAAACATTTGTTCACAAAAAATATTGTTCTCACTTATTATTGTTATTTATTATTATTTTTTTAATTAAAAAATTTAAAAATACCACTGTAAATTAAAGGAATGGATGGTTTGGGGTGGATTTTTCCTTTAACGTTGCCATCTCGCTCATACTGTATGAGACCTATTAATAGTTTAAATTACACCACTGTGCGTCCACTGGATATCTATGTACTGATACAGTGTAATATATCCTAAGCAGGATTGTTGCACTGTAAGCCCATTTTAACGTCTGAGAACAAGACAGAAGATAGGATTTTCTTCAACTGACCTGAGTTGAGTCTTTAGAAGAGACAGAGCATATAACTCTTGACATTACAGGACTAACGTATTGCCAAATGTTCATCCTGACCCATTAACCTCTACAGGATCGTGTCCCGTATATGGGAAGGTTGAGCTCACATGCGCTAATGTGATTAGCATGAATGTTGTAAGCAACAGCAAACTTTGTCTTATGTGGGCAGAAAGCTTAAATTATTGTTAATCTAACTGCACTGTCCAATTTACAGTAGCTATTACAGTGAAAAAATACCATGCTATTGTTTGAGGAGAGTGCACAACAACAAAAAACGTATCACGGCAACTGGTTTGAATAAATAATTAATATGATTTAGCAGACGCTTTATCAATGGACTTACAGTCATTGCGTGCTACTTTTGTTGTGGGTCCCGGGATCGAACCACTACCTGGCGTACAAGCGCGTGCTTCCATGACTACAGAGATCCACAATTCACACTCTGAGGTAAATAATGTTTCTTACATTGAACCTCTGCTCTGTGTCACATGCTAACGGTCCAGTATAAAATGTAGCATAGTTTTGTTTGATAAAATCAATATTTATATTCAAATTTAGGAACTGGGTTCTACAGTTTGAACCCTTGCTGTCTCTGGCTCCACACCCACCCCGCCAGCCATCTAGATGTGTGAAAGTTAGTGTATAAGCTAATGATCCATCATGTATGACATTCCTGCGAGTGTGTAAACTTACATTTTGTATTACCATATCATTTTTGTATGTTCTCTATAGTTATGTACTTGAAAATGTATCAATTGACCAATTCGGCACATTTGGGCAGACTTGATACAAAATAGTCCAGTATTGCAATGCTTCACTGGATCAATCTGTGAAACTTTGCACACACACTGCTGCCATCTAGTGGCCAGAATCTAAATTGATGAAAAAATATGAAAAAAATCAATAAATAGAAAACACATGTTTTTTTGTTTGTACTATCTTTTACCAGATCTAATGTGTTATATTCTCCTACATTAATTTCACATTTCCACAAACATCAAAGTGTTTCCTTTCAAATGGTATCAAGATAATGCACATCCTTGCTTCAGGTCCTGAGCTACAGGCATTTAGATTTGGGTATGTCATTTTAGGCGAAAATTGGGAAAAAAAAGGGTCCGATCCTTAAGAGGTTAAACAACAGCCTGGCTTTGGAGGTTTACATGTCATAGATTTTCATCTCAGTTGTGTGCCTCACTTGTGGGCCTTAAATTGAGTCATTGACTTTGACTTTGGTTCATAGCAAGGCTTATTTAGCTAAGCTTATTTCTCCATATGTCTTGCCAGGCCTAGAGTTAGGAATTGTCAGTGTTGCTTTGTGTCAATGTCAGATTGGAAGTGGTTGGAATAGAGTAAAAGCTCTTTATAAACCAGTATTTAATTAACTGGAATTGTTTAATAGAGATGGGATGAAGGACAATGTTTGTCTCATGGTACACTATTCCCCACATAGTAGTAGTTCAGTAGTAGTCTATGGGCCAGGAGAGACTGTGATGTGTTCAGGTTATAGACAAAAAAGTCAGACTGGGCGGCATGAATACGTGTGGACTAGCTAGTTTAAAAAACATATTGCGTCCAAAATTCTAAACTGAATGAACACATACATCACTTTGTACCTCAACACTTCTAAGCTAGACTTGGTGATGTTGCTAAATATATCCTGAGAATACAATGGCAAAATTAGTTAGTTGTATTGTTTTAGTTAAGACTTAACACCCGGTTTGGCTTTGCCTGATTTCTCGGATCATTTTCCCATTGTTGTGCAGGCCTATCCCACTGCTATGACGATTAGAGGATAAGAGATTTCTTGAGTTAATTATTCTCTTCTTCAGGCAACGGCTCGTTCGTCAAGATGTCGACCGAAGGCAATTTCCCTGCTTATGCTAATTATGCAGATGGACTTGGACAGTGGCAAAATAAAACCCTCCTTCTCCTGCATCCCCCGCCCAATTATTCTCACCTCCCGACTCCATCTCCCATTTAATCTGGCCTGCCATTCCTCCCACCTCTCAGCTATTAAATCCTGCTCCTCTTCAGTATTCACCGGTATGTTGCCTCATAAAGTCTCTGATAATTGCTTTTACTGAAGACGAGACAATTCTGTAAAAACGCTGCGATGATTGTTATTTTGTCCCGATGTCTGATTGTATTAGGGCTACTGTAAACTGCAATGAAAGTGTTCTAAATAAATCTCACTCTGTCAGGTGCTTTGAGTTCTGCTCACCATTGTTGTTGGTAAAAGAGTGCCTTGGATTGGTCCACATAAATATGTGTGAGTCTCAAACGCCAACCTATTCCCTATGTAGTGCACTACTTTTGACCAGGGCCCATAGGGTAGTAGTGGGAATGGGGTGCCGTTTGGGACCCATACTAACATTCTTACATATGGATGAATGCCTGCCCAAAAAGTTGATTGCTTCTAGAAAAATGCATGAACAGAAGTAGATTTATTCATTGGGCTACTCGGTGCCTGCCATCTTCATTCCTACTCCCCTACAGTCGCATTTCCTTACAGAACCATAGAACCATTCTCAGTGTACATTGGATCTGCTAAGGCAGTGGTTCTCAAACCTCTCCTCGGGACCCCCAGAAGTTCTATGTATTTGATCTATTCTAGAGCTAGTACACCTGATTCAACTTGTCAACTATTCATCAAGCCCTTGACTAGGTGAATCAGGTGAGCTAGTGCAGGACTACAACAAAGTTGTGAAACGTCTGGGGGTCCCCGAGGAAAGGTTTTAGAACCACTGCCTTAGAAGACCATGTACACTGGGCTTTATGGCTCACACACACCAGAGTTCCCCGAAAAGACACGCGCACACCACACACACACACACACAGCAGGGATAGAGACGACAGGAACAACAACATTCTGAATTTACAAACACACACACACACACACACACACACACACACACACTGTCCCTCTGCTCTATTTACATTTTAGTCATTTAGAAGACACTCTTATCCAGAACGACTTACAGGAGCAATTACGGTTAAGTGCCTTGCTCAGGGGCACATTGACAGATTTTTCACCTAGTCAGCTCAGGGATTCGAACCAGCGACCTTTTGGTTACTATTGAGACCGGTCAGTCTCTGAACTTTCAGCACACTGCTATTCATCCATCCAGCCATGCTAGCTGGCCGGGCAGTGTGGAACTGTGGATGTATTTGGTATCACAAAGATGTTCAGTGTGAAAGGATACGAGAAATAAACACTAACCCTGACTCAAGACCTCACGTCCCTGGTGGAAAGTCCTGTTCCCCTGCCATGAGACCCAAACAGATTCCTAACACAAATAAACGTTTCTCTCTGTCATTGTGGAGGGCTATTATACAGCATGGAAACCACCCTTCTTCAGATACTCAGTTACCCACAAAGACAGATTAAGGATAGCGTCATGCATTGCATAGCAATGTGTTTTTAAATCCCTCTATTGGACACAGAAAGGGGAAGGTTTTTTGCCTGGCTCGGTGAGCGTGCCAAAGAAAATAGTTTTATCTTTTTCACAATGCTCAGCTTGCATTAAGCACACTATAATAACACTTGACAATGTCATGCCAGATGCTGCCAAACACAGCATGGTGGTTTAACTAGGAACTAATTGAGAATTTCACTCTGGGTCTGCTTTTAAATTAAAACATGTATTGTGGTAAATGTGTTGTTATATCAAATAATTAAATGTCCAATGAATATCAAATGAAAGCTTTAAATGTGTTTATTGTGTAATGTATATCAAAGCCTTTCTCCTCCATGTTGTCCTACAGGTAACTACCAGCTTTCCCCTACGGTCAACATGCCCCAGGACGACACAGTCATCATCCAAGACGATAGGCTGCCTGAACTTCCTGCCCACCTCTCTGACCAATCGTCTTCCAGCTCCCATGACGACGTGGGGTTCCACGTGGAGGTCCCTCCCCCCTGGGCTAAAGAGATTCAAATTCAGAATGAGAGGTGAGGCTATCGTCCCAAATGGCTCCCTACATAGTGCACTACTTTTGACCAGAGCCCTATGGTCCCGGGTCAAAAGTAGTGCACTACATAGGGAGTAGGGTGCCATTTGGGGGACAGTTAAGCACTGGCTTGGTAACCTTCTGTTACCTCCCTGTCAAACACACATTTCATCTCCACGAACACCGCAGAGGGTTTCTGTGTTTATTACATTTACATTTTAGTCATTTAGCAGACGCTCTTACCAACTGTTAGTGTCAGACTTAACATTCCTTTTGATAATCGGGACCATGTTTTGCTAAGGTTTCGCAATGGAATGCTAGTATTATTTCAGTTGTAGCAAATTAGACCTAGTACTGTGTATTCAAAAGATTCCACCCTTTTTTTCTACACTGAACCAGCTAGAAATACACTGTAGGTCTAGATCTTTTTCTTTATACTGTATGTTGAAACATAAGGTCAATGTGTCTCTCTATGTTTGCTGAATCCGTCTGATTTTGAACGGAAAATCAGGGACACCTACCTGCTGCCCACTTAACTGGGACTGTATCCCAAATGACACCATTTTCCCTATATAGTGCACTACCAGAGCCCAATGGCCCTGGTCAAAAGTAGTCCTGTAAATACAGTGGGGGAAAAAAGTATTTAGTCAGCCACCAATTGTGCAAGTTCTCCCACTTAAAAAGATGAGAGAGGCCTGTAATTCTCATCATAGGTACACGTCAACATGACCAGACAAAATGAGGAAAAAAAAAAACCAGAAAACACCATGTAGGATTGTTTAATGAATTATCTGCAAATTATGGTGGAAAATAAGTATTGGGTCAATAACAAATGTTTAATACTTTGTTATATACCCGTTGTTTGCAAGACACAGGTCAAACGTTTTCTGTAAGTCTTCACAGTTTTTCACACACTGTTGCCTGTATTTTGGCCCATTCCTCCTCGTCGATCTCCTCTAGAGCAGTGATTTTTGGGCTTTTGCTGGCAACACGGACTTTCCAACTCCCTCCAAAGATTTTCTATGGGGTTAGATCTTGGAGACTGGCCTAGGCCACTCCAGGACCTTAATGCTTCTACGAAGCCACTCCTTCTTGCCCAAGGCCGGTGTGTTTTGGGATCATTGTCATGCTGAAAGACCCAGCCACGTTTCATCTTCAATGCCCTTGCTGATGGAAGGAGGTTTTCACTAAAAATCTCACGATACATGGCCCCATTCATTCTTTCCTTTACACGGATCAGTCATCCTGGTCCCTTTGCAGAAAAACAGCCCCAAAGCATGATGTTTCCACCCCCATGCTTCACAGTAGGTATGGTGTTATTTGGATGCAACTCAGCATTCTTTGTCCTCCAAACACGACGAGTTGAGTTTTTACCAAAAAGTTCTATTTTGGTTTCATCTGACCATATGACATTCTCCCAATCCTCTTCTGGATCATCCAAATGCACTCTAGCAAACTTCAGACGGGCCTGGACATGTACTGGCTTAAGCAGGGGGACACGTCTGGCACTGGAGGATTTGAGTCCCTGGCGGCGTAGTGTGTTACTGATGGTAGGCTTTGTTACTTTGGTCCCAGCTCTCTGCAGGTCATTCACTAGGTCCCCCCGTGTGGTTCTGGGATTTTTGCTCACCGTTCTTGTGATCATTTTGACCCCACGGGGTGAGATCTTGCGTGGAGCCCCAGATCGAGGGAGATTATCAGTGGTCTTGTATGTCTTCCATTTCCTAATAATTGCTCCCACAGTTGATTTCTTCAAACCAAGCTGCTTACCTATTGCAGATTCAGTCTTCCCAGCCTGGTGCAGGTCTACAATTTTGTTTCTGGTGTCCGTTGACAGCTCTTTGGTCTTGGCCATAGTGGAGTTTGGAGTGTGACTGTTTGAGGTTGTGGACAGGTGTCTTTTATACTGATAACAAGTTCAAACAGGTGCCATTAATACAGGTAACGAGTGGAGGACAGAGGAGCCTCTTAAAGAAGAAGTTACAGGTCTGTGAGAGCCAGAAATCTTGCTTGTTTGTAGGTGACCAAATACTTATTTTCCACCATAATTTGCAAATAAATTTATTAAAAATCCTACAATGTGATTTTCTGGATTTTTTTTCCTCAATTTGTCTGTCATAGTTGACGTGTTCCTATGATGAAAATTACAGGCCTATCTCATCTTTTTAAGTGGGAGAACTTGCACAATTGGTGGCTGACTAAATACGTCATTTGGGACGTAGCATTGACCTGAAGGGCTTTTGCCACCCTGTGATGACGAGGTCCAGTCAGAGTCCTCATCAGTGGTGCTGGGCTGGTCTGAGTGTGTTGTGATTGTAACTCGTCCAGCCCAGTCAGATTAGTCTCTGCTGTAATCAGAGGCTCCTCAGGGATGGTCCTGACTCTAGGAGCTGCAGTGGCTTGATTTGATGATTGGAAGATATTGATGATGATGGTTTGATTTGCACTAGAACCACTAGAATAATCTCTCTCTGTCCCTCTCTTTTTCTCTCTCTCTCTCTCTCTCTCTCTCTCTCTCTCTCTCTCTCTCTCTCTCTCTCTCTCTCTCTCTCTCTCTCTCTCTCACACTCTCTTTCTCTCTCTCTCTGTCTTTTCTCCTCTCACACACTCACTCTCATTCTTTGTCTCTGTCTTTGTGTCTCTCTCCATCACTTCCTTCCCCCCTCTCCTCCTGTAGCACTCTGAGCCCTGATGACACCGACCCAGATGGAGCCTTTCAGAGGGAGGGCTTTGGCAGACAGAGTATGTCAGAGAAACGGACAAAGCAGTTTGGAGATGCCAGTCAGCTGGAGATCATCAAGACACGCAAGTCCAAGAGCATGGATCTAGGTACTAACCCAAACAACCACCATGTCCCTTTCCTCCCTCTCATTGACTCCCTATAGGTCAGCCCTGCCTGGAACCAATGGCACGACGTTATAGGTTGGTTTACCAGACAGAGATTTATGGAAAGGTGGCATCCTATGACCCTGAGCTCTTTAGTAAGGCCATTCTACTGCCAATGTCTGTCTATGGAGATTGCATGGCTGTGTGCTCGATTTTAACGGTTGTGGCTGAAAGAAATAGCCGAATCCACTAATTATGAAGGGTTGTCCACATACTTTTGTATATATAGTGTACATACACATACCCCACTCATTGTTAATTGCATCTATAAGACTTGCATTGCACACCCTGATATTTGCGGCTTCTACTCTATGTAATCTATGTGTGACGCATTTCTCTGTCTTTTATGTGACATCAAACAGGTTGATGCACTGGATCTGCCACACCTCAGAATAATGTTTCAGATGACATTAGACCATCCTGATCGCTTTGGCTCACAGTCATCTTCCCCCTCACACACCCTATGGCTGCGTCCCAAATGGCACCCTGTTCCATTTATATATAGTGCACTACTTTTGACCAGTGGTGCCCTATAAAAAGAATAGGGTGTAATTTGGGACACAGCCTATATCTAATCTGCTTCTGATCCCCACTGAATTACTGTAGTCCTGCACTGTGTTTATATCACAATAGCTCTGATTGCTATCCTAAACCCCTCCATTTCCCTGTTTTTCTGTCTCTGTGTCTCGCATGGTCTCTGATTGCCCTTGAAATTGCCCAAAGATGTGATGATGTACGCACTGTACAGTAACATTGTTGGAATGTTTGCATGTTGAATGTGCTCACTAACCAATCCTAAATGTTTATTGCCCCCCTTTAACAGTAGCCGACGAGATTAACCTCACCCCTCGCAAAGAGAACACACCAGGTAAGGAGTGACATGTCACTGAGGGAGAACGGACACCTCATCCATTCCAGTCCCTCCCCACATTCCATCCTGCGAATCCAGACCTGTAGAATCTACCACCTCACAATGAGAAGAGAATAGAATACAAAGAACCTTGAGACAGTTTGAGGTCAATGTGGGTGGGAGAATATGGACTTGGCAGTGATTTTTCTTAAGACACGGTAGCACTGCTAATTGTTCTGTGGATGGGAATGTGAGGAGGGAGAGAGAGATATAGGAAGAGCGAAAGAGAGCGATTGATTGAGAGAGGGAGAGAGCGAGAGAAAGAAAGAAAGAACGCTCTGTCCTTGGCTGGTGCTGCAAACTGACAGCAAGTCATCCGTCATTGTCAGCTGTGTGTTTTCACAGCCACCTCTAAATAGAAGCTCCTTCGAAGGATGGGATTTAGCTGAATGGCACAGTGAAAGCAGGAGAAAGGAAGGGAAACAACAGGAAATGGAGGCGGTCTGGTAGAACTACTGTACACATGAATGAGACTAAATATTTCAATGTCCCTTGTTAGGACACTTTGTTTTCTCCAAACATTGTCTGAGCAGTCACTAGCAAGAGAGAGATGCCTGGTTTGCGACCCAAATTGCACCCTATTTCCTATTCAGTGCACTACTTTTGACCAAAGCCCTATATAAGGAATAGGATTCCATTTGGGAAGCAGACCCAAACTTTAACGTGGGTGGCCATGGATATGGTGGCAGCTTGGCTGGAAAATTGAATAGATTGCAGCCTGAACAAGCAGTGCTGGTGCCTATTCATTTTCATCAGGCTGTCCTGTCCTCTTAACGTCTCACTGAAGCAGCGGCTGATGGGCTTTCATGCATCAAACTCCATTCATTTGGTTTTAGCGTTCAGCCAGCAGCTGCACCGCATGCTTCCCAGTCACACCTCGGTGGTAGTCTTAAAAATTACATTAATTCAGGCCTCTGACAGACGGCGTGAGTCAAGAACATCAGGCAGTGGTTTGTTTGAGAAAGAGCTTTGGGAATTTCAGATAGTCAGATCTGGCAACGTCCAGCCTTCTACATATCTGCATTGGCATGTTTGTTTCAGATAGTCAGACCTGGCAACCCAGCTCCAACATATCTGTACTAGGCATGTTTGTTTCAGATACCAGACCTGGCAACCCAGCTCCAACATATCTGTACTAGGCATGTTTGTTTCATATAGTCAGACCTGGCAACCCAGCTCCAACATATCTGTACTAGGCATGTTTGTTTCAGATAGTCAGACCTGGCAACCCAGCTCCAACATATCTGTACTAGGCATGTTTGTACAGACTGCCACCCTATTCAAGCTGAAGATAACGCGGGTCGTACAGAGATCGGCGGTGGTGCCTTATAATAATAATAAATACAGGTATCAATCACCCTGCAGTCGGGAGGAAGGTCGAACAGGGAATACCCTGGAAGTGTCCCAAATAGCACCCTATATCTTATATAATGCACTACTTTTGACCAGGGCCCATGGAACTCTGGTCAAAAGTAGTGCACTATGTAGGGAATAGGGTGCCATTTGAGATGCTGCCACTGTGTGGCTATAGGACCCACTGGAGTTGCACATATAGGCACGTAACCGACTGGAAACGTCCTGGAAAGTTTGAAGGAATGACTGTTGCTATTGGCCATTAGGGAGCTGTATACCAGTGGGCAAACAGCCCTGCATTGCCCTCTACTAACCTAGTGGACAAACATGTGGATACAGTCTGTGTCAACAAGGTCCTATTGCCAATCAGTGGATAAGTGTGGCCCAGTGGCCCAGGTTATTGTGTCCCATCACTCCCCTCTCGCAGGCTACGTCCATTCCCTATATAGTGCACTACTTTTGACCAGAACTCTATGGGACATCACTCCCCCTCCCAGGCTGTCACTGTCATCAGTTTCCCCAGGATTTGGGATTTGTTTTGGGCCTGCTAAATGGACCATGCCTCATTGCTACTTTAGCTGGGAGTGTATATTAAAGAAGGAGAGTGTAGCACAGGGGCCGGGTAGAGAGAACCCCTGAAACGCTTAAGAAAATAGCCTGAAATCTATTAGCCTCTAAAAGTTATTAGGGCGAAATTGAATAGGTATTCTTTCCTATTTTTTTCCACAAATTAAATTGTAGGAGGGTGGTGATCGTACAATGTACAAAACTATTTTTTATATATATATTTTGTGGATGTCATTTTACAGACAGGTAAATAAAGTACATGTGTGCCTCTTCTTTGCCAAGTCTTAAACTGGAGGCTAGAAACAACAGGTCTGCATCCCAAATGGCACCCTATTCCCTATATAAAGCACTACTAGTACTAGCACCCTGGGTCTCTTGTTTACCCAGTCCCCCAGTAGCTCTGCTACAGTATACTTTGTGGATTAGAGGGAGAGAGAGTCTGCTGGGCTGTTCCCCTGAAGTAATCCATCCCTCTCTCTGTTTGCATCCCAAATGCCACCCTATTCCGTATATAGTGCACTACTTTTATATGGGCCCTGGTCAAAAGTAGTGCACTACATAGGCAATAGGGTGCCATTTGAGCCGCATCCTCTCTACACCTCCCTACCACTCTACCTTTATTTCTCTACAATACCCCCTCAACCTGTGAGTGATGAAGAGATGTACTGTACACCTACAGGGGTTTTCAACTCTTACCCTACGAGGTCCGGAGCCTGCTGGTTTTCTGTTCTACCTGATAATTAATTGCACCCACCAGTCCCTGATTAGAGTGGAAGAATGAAAAAAATCTTTGAGGTCCAGATTTGAATTTGAGGGACCTACTCTTATCTAGGCTTTAGCCAAAACACTATCATTGTAAAGGTTTATCCCCTTTTTTCTCAATGCAACATAACCCATTTGGTTACATGTTACACAGTGTGAGCTCCATCCAAGTTTTCATTACAACTCACAGGTAGTAAAGTAAAATAACAAAATGCTTTAGTTAAACACAGCCCTGTATTTAAAAAATACAAAAGCTCCTTTAGTTCACTCACAGCTTTATCAATTAACTACGTTTTGATACTGTTGCTCCTCCCTAGGGTCTTCCACCAGGGACGTGGGTCCTTCCCTAGGCCTCAAGAAGTCCAGCTCTCTAGAGAGTTTACAGACAGCCGTTGCCGAGGTAACACTGAACGGTGACATGCCCTTCCACAGGCCACGCCCACGCATCATCAGGGGGCGGGGCTGCAACGAGAGCTTCCGGGCCGCCATCGACAAGTCATACGACAGGCCAGGCGCTACAGAGGAGGACGATGAGGACATGGAGACATGTAAGATAGACTTCTATTGGACAGATCTCCATAAGATAGACTTCTATTGGACAGATCTCAGTAAGATAGACATCTCTTGGACAGATCTTAGTTCAGGAGACATGTAAGATATAATTATATTGGATAGAAATCTTAGCTAACCAAGGCCAAATACTTTCACACATACATACTGTATCTTCCATTGATATCTACACACAATTAATGGTAAAGTTCAAGTTACCTGTGCGTATTAAAGGTCAGGATTCAAGATCAAATATTCAAAGACCATTTCTTCTTTAAAGATTCCGCCAATATAAAACATTCTGTTACTGTCTGTCCAGTGGAGGAGGACACCGAGGAGAGCTCTCGGTCCGGGCGCGACTCTGTGTCCACCGTGGCAGACCTGACCCCACTACCCAACACAGAGAGACCGCTGGTCAATGGCAACCACACCAATGAAGACAAGAAGAAGGATAAGGGAGGGAATGATAAAAAGAAACAGAGGGACAAAGAGAAGGACAGCAAGAACAAGGCTAAGAAAGGCATGCTAAAAGGCCTGGGAGACATGTTCAGGTAGGACGCATGGACGCACACACTCACTCTCCATCCTCCTTTACCGGTGTTTTACCCACCATTATAAGTGGGTACTGGGATCATGCCTTTCATCTGATTGTCTGAGATGGTCTCTGATTGTCTGAGATGGTCTCTGATTGTCTGGGATGCTCTCTGAGCTGTCCGAGATGGTCTCTGATTGTCTGGGATGCTCTCTGAGCTGTCCGAGATGGTCTCTGATTGTCTGGGATGCTCTCTGAGCTGTCCGAGATGGTCTCTGATTGTCTGGGATGGTCTCTGATTGTCTGAGATGCTCTCTGGGGTGTCTGGGATGCTCTCTGGGGTGTCTGGGATGCTCTCTGGGGTGTCTGGGATGCCAATGATCAGATATTCCTAGTGGTTTTGAAAAGGCTATGTCCCAAATAGCATCCTATTCCCTATATATAGTGCACTACTTATTTAGTAAAAGTAGTGTACTAAATAGGGAATAGGGTGCTATCGTGGTTCTGACAGAGAGAATGCCGACAGTGTAAAATAATGAGATCCAGTGCGAAGGAGAAGGAGCTCCTGGCAGACATGCAGATCAGATGTGTTTGGCCTAAAGAGGTGTGTGTGTTATTGTGTTTGGCCTTAAGAGGTGTGTGTGTTTGGCCTAAAGGTTGCTGGAAGCTGGAATAATTTGGCTGCTATAATCGCAGGGAACTGTAGAATCATTATGCAGTTGTTCTCCCATTGACACGAGCACTGTCAGTAGTTACACACGCAAGTATACACACACATACATACATACATACACACACACACACTACACACTTTAATCAAGCCCAGATAAAGTATTTGAAATACTATTTAAACCCAGGTCTTGTTGGAGTGTGTCGCAGAGACAGAGGCTAGTCAGAGCTGACCCTCTCAGCTCTCTGGGCACCACACACACGCACACACACATTCATACACACTGCAGCCCAATCAAAGCCTCATTACCATCAAAGCACCATAAGACCACAGAAGCCTCCCTCTCCTACTATACACCAATCACCACTTGGACTCAAAGCAACACCCAATCTGCTCGCTTGGCAGCCTCCTCAAAATGGCCACTGCCCAGACACACACTAACACACACACGTGGCAGCATCAGTACGGTTGGTTTTTCAATGCTACGGTATAGTGAAGTGAAGAACTGTAGTACTGTAACTCATGAATGTCTCGAGCTGTGCTAGAGTCAGTGAAACTGTCAAGCCAGACCTTATCAGGTCAAGATGAATTTGATATGCATCTGTTACGTGATTGCAATGCATCCTGTCTGTCCATCTCATATCTATGTGGTTTGATTTTAAACCGTCGTGGCTTATCGTCATCTTCTCATGGACAGTCTTTATCTGAGAAAATAACTCTACCGCAAATATTTAAAGCAATGCAGTCTCTCTTTCTCTCTCTCTCCCTTTCTCTCTCGCTCTCTCTTTCTCTCTCTCTCGCTCTCTCTTGCTCTCTCTCTCTCTCTCTCTCTCTCTGTGTTATGACACTTTCTCAACAGAGCCATTGAACTTGAAGTCTCAAGTCGCCTGCTTCTTTAACTAAAATATATCTTGTAAATTCCCATCTTATCATTGGTGTGGAACTCATAAGCAGATAAATTATAAGGGTTCTGTGTACAGAATATGAAATGCCCTTCTGTCATGATGAATGTCCTACTCGTCTCAGAAAGTTTCACTAGTTCCTCCTATCATAAATCTCCAGTGTGTCTGAAGGAGACTGTGGCTGTGTCCCAAATGGCAGCCTATTCCCTATATACATAGGGGCTCTGGTCTAAAGTAGTGCACTATAAAGGGAATAGGGTGCCATTTGGGAGTCCCAATAAAATTGGGACGTGGCTGGTGTTTAAGGAGACTTAATGGAATCCACTGGAGTGTAAAGAGAAACTGTCACCCGCTGTCTCTGTGATAGATAGGACTGCTCTTCATATTAACACCTACACATCACTGTCAACGACTTTATGCTACATTTGAGGCCATTTGTTGATCAATTAATCAGGTAATAGACCTCCCCCTGCTGTATTTCACTCTCATCCCTGTCTCTCGCTCTGTCTCCTTTCATTATCTCTCACACTTACTCTCTCGCTCTCTATTGAACTCGGAGAGACTCTGCATGCCAATTTCCCTCTGAATAAGCCTTGGCAAACTCAGTCAAGTAGAATGAAAAAGTTGAGAGCTAAACATTTGATGGAGTTTTTGTCAGAAGAGAGTTGGAGAGAATGGCAGAGTTGATCACCATTAGTAGTTTACTAGTTATTGTCTCTGGGGGAACTGTTTGAATGCGTCCCAAATGGCATCCTATTCTCTATAAAGTGTCCTACTTTTAACCATGTCCGATAGGGCTCTGGTCAAAAGTAGTGCATTAGGGAATAGGGTGCCATTTGGGATGCACCCTTAGAAATACCCAAATTGAAGCCATTTCGGTAAAATTGTTTGTCTGCTGCCCCTAATTATATTTCAGGTTTGGTAAACATCGCAAGGACGGAGAGAAAATAGAGCGTAAAGGATCAAGCAAGTGGAGGCCAGAGGAGCTACAAGCCTCAGAGGAAGAAACACTGAGGATGAGGCTGGAGCAGGAGAGGTGAGTGTCTGCCTACACACACCATTTTTTATTAGATGTTTTCTTGGTATAGAGACTGACAGGACAGTTAAGAAAATACATGTTTTGTGTCAAAGTCGTGGTGGGACTGGGAATCGATTCCACACGGATACAAACGTAATTTGCTGAAAGGCATTGGGTGATGCCCCCCCAGGCCACAAGCTACTGTTGAAGTCTGAAGTTTACATACACTTAGGTTTTTCAACCACTCCACAAATTTCTTGTTAACAAACTATAGTTTTAGCAAGTCGGTTAGGACATCTACTTTGTGCATGACACAAGTAATTTTTCCAACAATTGTTTACAGACAGATTATTTCACTTATAATTCACTGTATCACAATTCCAGTGGGTCAGAAGTTTACTTACTCTAAGTTGACTGTGCCTTTAAACAGCTTGGAAAATTCCAGAAAATTAGGTCATGGCTTTAGAACCTTCTGATAGGCTAATTGACATAATTTGAGTCAATTGGAGGTGTACCTATGGATGTATTTCAAGGCCTACCTTCAAACTCAGTGCCTCTTTACTTGACATCATGGGAAAATCTAAAGAAATCAGCCAAGACCTCAGAAAAAATATTGTACTCCTCCACAAGTCTGGTTCATCCTTGGGAGCAATTTCCAAATGCCTGAAGGTACCACATTCATCTGTACAAACAATAGTACACAAGTATAAACACCATGGGACCACGAAGCTGTCATACCGCTCAGGAAGGAGACACATTCTGTCTCCTAGAGATTAACGTACTCAGGTACACAAGCTCTGTCAGGAGGAATGGGCCAATATTCACCCAACTTATTGTGGGAAGCTTGTGGAAGGCTACCCGAAACGTTTGACCCAAGTTAAACAATTTAAAGGCAATGCTACCAAATACTAATTGACTTCAACTGTATACTACTAGAGGTCAAATAGGATATTGCACAAGACATTGCTGTCCACTGAAATGTACCATTGATGCAAAACTAAACTAAAGCCATTAACAGGGCTTTCTGGTCAGTGTCACATAGTATTTTCTGTTTTCACCAGGAGCCAAAGAAAGGTCAAGGGTCAACATATTGGGAAACCTCACTGAAAGAGCCTGCTCGGTCTTCATTCCCCGGCCTGTCTTACTTGCCCCTGTATCAATGACTCCATCCTTTTCTGTGATCCCGCAAGTCAACTACTAGCTATATCCACACATAAGCTAGAGACAGGGTGTGAGTCCCAAGTGGCACCCTATTCCCTATATAGTTTGCCCTGGTCAAAAGTAGTGCACTATATTGGGAATAGGGTGCTATTTGGGACACAACCAAACAATAGAGAGATGGAGTGTTTGGTTGGTGCTTGATGTACACCACCCTACTGCAGCACTGAGTGTTTCCTTTGATTTAACATCTATTGAAGGACTGAATGGTTTGGGGGCAATCATTGACAACATGAGAGCTTCTTTTGAAGCCCATATATTTAGTGCCCTGGCTGTGGGTGATAATGATCACATTCATCACAACACTTCCATTTCTACGTACCATGTCATTACGGTGCTGATGCACAGCCAATCACTTGGACATGGAGACCAAATCAAAGGAACTGCCATTATAAAATCACATCAACAAAAGAGTCCTCTCTGCTTTGGGCCCTCAGCTAATAAGTGTTGCAAATGATGGATTCAGAAGGAAATATACTGCAAGGTGAATCGATGCACAATTTATGTAGATCATAAGCCATGGCTTTACTTATGTTAATGATTTTGTCGTGAAGGACCGAGAGTTAAGACAGCCAGAAATCATTATGATCAAACCTATAGGAAACACTTGTATGAATAAATCTGACGTGATTTACTGTCAAGTCAGATTTACTGTAGTAGCCATTATTGAAGATACAAAATATGTGGACACCCCTTCAAATTAGTGGATTCGGCTATTTAGAAAGAAAAAGGGTAGATGTAACCCCCCCACTTATACTTATACCCCCCTTTATTCCACCCCCCCCCCCCTTATTCCACCCTATTCCCCTCCCGACTGCTCGGGTGGCGGGGCCAGCACACGCTGCCCAAAGGTAGATTACAATATGACAATTGAGAGTGTGTTAAAAAGTACAAATTCACAGCGCCGACTGGTCCAAGTAAGAGAGGAAAGGCTGCCAGATTTGATCAAATGTTGATAATTTATTGTTCAGAATATATCTAATTATTTCTAAGTGTACAGTGTTTGCCAATTCGCTGAGCCATAATTTGGTAGAGGGCGCTTCCCTCCTTTTCCCAAAAAACAAGATTCATTTTTTTGCCGAAATGAGACTGTAAGAGATTAGTTTTTTTTGGGAGTTGGTTAATCCGTTTAGGGAATCGGACACTCCCAGGATTATCAGAAGCGGGTCTGGGTCTATTGAAGTCTCCAGAACTGCAGAGAGGACTCCAAAAATTCCACACCAATAACCATACAGGCTAGAGCATAGGGCAAAGCAGTGGAGTAGTGTACCCTGCTCAGCCTGACATTTATCACACATAGGGGATGTATCAGGAAATATCCTATGCAGTTTAGTTTTGGAATAGTGTAATCTGTGTTATACCTTAAATTGTATGAGACGATGTCTGGAGTTAATGGAGCAGGTGTGGATATACTCCAAGCTATCCTCCCAGTCTGCCACCGAAATGTCAGTTCCTTAGTTCTTCCTCCCATTTTGCCTTAATGGCATCAGTAGAGGGTGCGCTAACAGATTGAAAAGCGTCATATAGACGAGATATCAGTTTGTCTGTGGTGGGGCATATTTTTATGCATCCGTCAAACATGGAAGGTTTAGCATTCCCAAATGTTGGGAGGTGTTTTCTAACATAGTCTCTAATTTGTAGGTATCTGAAAAAGTTACTTCTGGGAAGGTTATACGTTCCCTCAGCGATTCAAAGGAAGCAAAGGTCCCTCCTATATATAAATCCCCTATGGTACTTATCCCCAACTCTCCCCATCGCTCAAAGGTGTTATCAAGGTTAGAGTGGGCAATGGAGGGATTCCTGGCAACAGGGAGCATGAATGATATTGGTCTAAGCTCAAAGTGGACTTTAATTTGCTTCCAGATTCGGACTGTGCTATGTATAATAGGATTGTTACGGTAAAGTGACATCTCCAGATTGACAGGTGACAAAATCACAGCACCAATAGAGAAGAGGTGACACTCCTCACGCTCCATACTAAGCCAGCTGGATGGCGGGGGTGCGTCATCCAGCAAAAACGTAACAGCGCAGAGGTTAGCGGCCCAATAGTAAAATATAAAATTTGGGAGAGACAATCCTCCTTCCATCTTGGATTTACATAGGTGTTTTTTACCTATCCTGTGTGATTTATAATCCCAGATGAAAGGATTGACAATAGAGTCCAGTTGTTTATGAAAGGATTTAGGTATGAATACTGGGATGTTCTGGTATAGGAAGACCATTTTAATGGCATTAATTCTTCTGAGCAGAGAAATTGGGAGAGTTCTCCAAAATTGTATGTTTGCCTTGAGATTTTGCATCAGAGAGGGGAAATTCTCTTTAAATAGTAAGGAGTATTGTTTGGTAACTACAATTCCAAGGTAGATACATTTTTCTGAAGATAACTTAACTGGAAAATGTTCTAGCCAGGAGGTGTTTTGCAACAGTATGGGCATTAATTCACTCTTGTTCCAATTTATTCTGTATCACGAGAAGGTACCAAACAAATTAATCACCTCAAGAATAGCTGGAATACTAGCTTGGGGTTCTGTTACATAGAGGAGAATATAATCTGCGTATAGGGAAATCTTATTTAGAGTATCTTTAGTATTATAGCCGTGTATTGCTGAATGAGATCTGATCGCTTGAGCGAGAGGTTCAATAATTAGGGCGAAGAGCATAGGCGACAGCGCACAACCCTGCCTTGTCCCTCTGTAAAGGTTAAATCGGGGCGACAGTGATTGGTTAGTGAGTATTCTCGCACAAGGGTTCCTATATAAAAGCTGGATCCAATTTATGAACCCATCTCCAATATTACATTTCTGTAGGACCTTGAATAGATAGGGCCACTCAACTTGGTCAAAGGCCTTTTCGGCGTCAAGAGATAGAACGGCAAGGTCCACGTTAGGTAACCTCTGAGAATACATAATGTTGAAGAGGTGCCTGAGATTGAAGAATGAGTTTCTGTTAGGGATAAAGCCGGTCTGGTCCGAATGGACCAATTTGCCAATTAAAGTGCTAAGCCTGTTAGCCAGAGTTTTTGCTAAAATCTTTTGGTCTGTGTTAAGGAGGGATATTGGTCTGTATGACCCTACCTCTTCCGGATCTTTACCCTTCTTATGTATAACTGTAATAAACGCCTCATCCAAAGTAGATGGGAGAGCTCCATCCTCATTGGCCCTGAACCAACATTTTGTGCAGGTAGGGAGAGAGCATGTTGCTGAATGTTTTATAGAATTCACCAGGGTATGCATCTGGGCCCGGGGTCTTGCCACTCTTTAGAGATTTAATTGTTTCTCTAATTTCTTCAAGAGATATTTCCTTATTCAGGAAGTTAGAGTCTTGAAGATTACAGTCCTCCAAAAAGTGTTGCATAATTAAGGGGTTAGGATCCGCTTTAGATGTATATAGAGTCTCATAAAACTGGCGGAATCTGTCATTGATGTCTTTGGGGGAGGAGAGTAATTCCCCAGATGCAGATTTAACTTTGTGAATCATTCGGTCACACATTTTTTCGAAGTTGTCTGGCGAGTCATTTGTGTGGTTTGTCACCAAACTCAAAATATTTTTGCTTGGCATAGAGAAAAGATTTAGCAATTTTAGCCGAGAGGATCTGATTGTATTTACATTTTAAATACATACTTTTTTTTATGTTTCTCCATAGATGGATGTCTAGCATTCTCCCTATCCAGTAAGTGAATTTGTCCCTCCAGTTCTACCAATTTTCTTCTGTTTTGCCTACTCCTGGCAGTCTGAAAGGAGATGATACATCCTCTCAAATACGCCTTCAGCGTTTCCCACAATAATGCTGGGGAAGTC